GTGATAGGAAAACATCCATACGCCTACAAGGAAGATCAGTTAATATAAGTGTTATTCAGATTTACACATCAACTGCTAATTACAAAGATGAAGAAATTGAAGATTTTTCCCAACTTCTGCAGTCTGAAATTTTATCGAACATGTAATCAGGATTCATTAATAATTACTGGATATTGAAATGCAAAAGTTGGAAACAAGGAAGAAGGATCGGTAGCTGAAAAAATATGGCATTGGTGATAGAAACAACACTGGAGATCGCATGATAGAATTTTGGAAGACTGATGACCTATTCATTGGAATTACCTTTTTTCAACAACATAAATGGTATCTATACACATGGACCTCAGCAGATGGAATACACAGAAATCAAATCGACTACATCTGTGGAAAGAGACCATAGAGAAGCTCGGTATTATCTGTCAGAACAAGGACAAGGAACGGACCATCAATTGCTCATATGCAAGTTCAAGTTGAAGCTGAAGAAAATTAGAAAAAGTCTACGGGAACCAAAGTACGACCTTAAGTATATCCCACTTGAATTTAGAGATCATCTCAAGAGTAGATTTGACTCATTGAACACTAATGACTGAAGACCAGATAAGTTGTGGGATTATATCCAGGACATCATACATGAAGACAGCAAGAGGCCATTAACAAGACAGGAAAGAAAGAAAAGACCAAAATGCATGTCAGAGGAGATTCGGAAACTTGCTCTTGAAGGTCAAGTAGTGCAAGCAGAAGAAAGAAATGGTGAAATAAAAGAGCTGAACAAAATGAGATTTGAGATTTCAAAGGCGGGCTCCAGAAGACAAAACATTACAATGGAATGTGCAAAGACCTGGAGTTAGAAAAGCAAAAGAGAACAGTATGCTCAGTATTTCTCAAGCTGAAAGAACTGGAGGAAGAATTCAAGCCTCGAGTTGCAATATTGAAGGATTCTATGGTCAAAATGTTAAATGCAGCAGGAAGCATCAAAAGAAGATGGAAGAACTACACAGAGTTACTGTACCAAAAAGAAATGGTCAGTGTTCAACCATTTGAGGCATTTCAGGACATAGCATATGATGAAGAACTGATGGTACTGAAGGAACAAATCCAAGTTACACTGAAGATATTAGCGAAAAACAAGGCTTCAGAAATCGATGGAATACCAATTGAGATGTTTCAACAAACAGATGCAGCGCTGGAGGTGCTCGCTTGTCTATGCCAAGAAATTTTGGAAGACAACTACTTGGCCAACTGACCGAAAAGATTCATATTTGTGTCCATTCCAAATAAAGGTGATCCAACAGAATGTGGAAATTATCGAACAATATCATTAATATCACACACAAGTAAAATTTTGCTGAAGATCTATCAAAAGCAGTTGCAGCAGTACATTGACAGGGAACTACCAGAAATCCAAACTGGATTCAGAAGAGGGTATGGAACGAGGAATATCATTGCTGATGTTGGATGGATTTTAGCTGAAAGCAGAGAACACCAGAAAGATTTTTACCTGTGTATTATTGACTATGCAAAGGTATTCAACTGTGTGGATCATAACAAATTATGGATAACAATGCAAAGAATTGGAATTCCAGAACACTTAATTATGTATGTGGAAACTGTACATAGATCACGGGGTAGTCGTTTGAGGGAAACCAGGTGACAGTGCATGGTTTAAAGTCAGGAAAGGTGTGCATCAGAGTTGTATCCTTACACCAAACTTATTCAGTCTGTATGCTGAGCAGATAATCTGAGAAGGTGGACTATATGAAGAAGAATGCAGCATCAGGATTGGAGGAAGACTTATTAACAACCCGTGATATGCAGATGACACAACCTTACTTGCTGAAAGTGAAGAAGACTTGAAGCAGTTACTGATGAAGATCAAAGACTACAACCTTCAGTATAGATTGCACCTCAACATAAAACAAAGGTCGTCACAACTGGACCAATAAGCAACATCACAATAAATGAAGAAAGTATTGAAGTTGTCAAGGATTTCATTTTACTTGGATCTACAATCAATGCCCATGGAAGCAGCAGTCAAGCAATCAAATAATGTATTGTATTGGGCAAATTTGCTGCAAAAGACCTTTTTAAAGTGTTAAAAAACAAAGATGTCACTTCAACGACTAAGGTGCGCCTGACCCAAGCCATGATATTTTCAGTCGCCTCATATGCATGAGAATGTTGGACAATGAATAAGGAAGACTAAAGAAGAATTATTGCCTTTGAATTATGGTGTTGGCAAGGAATACTGAATATACCATCAATTGCCAGAAGAACAAACAAATCTGTTTTGGAAGAAGTACTACCAGAAAGTTCCTTAGAAGGGACGATGGCAAAACTTCATCTAACATAATTTGGACATGTTATCAGGAGGGACCAGTACCCTGGAGAAGGACATCATACTTGTTAAAGCAGAGGATCGGTGAAAAAGAGGAAGACCCTCAACAAGATGAATTCACAGTAGCTGCAACAATGGGCTCAAACATAGGAACAATTGTGAGGATGGTGCAGGACTGGGCATTGTTTTGTTCTATTGTATGTAGGATTGCTATGAGTTTGAATGAACTCAACAGCAACGAGTTTGGGTGTTTTTTTTGTTTTTGGATTAAACTAAAGGGGCTTAGTCTGTATACTGAGCAAACATTGCATGCTTATACCAATAAAAACGTACTTATTCAATCTGTACGCTGAGCAAATAATTCAAGAAGCTGGACTAAATGAGGAAGAACACAGCATCAGCTATTCCAGTTTTCTGTTTCTTCTTGTGTCAGTTTTTGGAAGTTTGTTTCTTTCAAGAATTTTGTCTATTTCATGCAGGTTGTCTTAATTTATTAGTATGAAGTTGTTCATATTTAAAATAACTCAAAATAAATTTTTACTTTCTCTTTGTAAGTTTCTAGGTCCAATGTCTTGTCCATTTATGTTCTCTGTTTAGACATTTAGTAATGCGTTCCTCAGCCAGAGTGGTATAAGAGAAGAACCTGATCTTTGAATTATCCGTATTTATGCTTCAACTCAGCCACTCACTAACCCTGTGACCTTGAGCAGGTTGCTTTGGCTTCCTCCTCTGTCATATGTGGGTAAGAATACCTCCTGCCCAGGTAGCTGAGTGGCCTGACAGATATGGGTGCTTCATGAATGGGTGCCACTGTTACCGCAGTAACGCGGATTGGAGCCGCCTGCCTCAGCAGCCAATTCTGAGACAGGGGTGAGGTGAGCAGCAAGATGTTTATTATATATCGATATATAGGAGACGGAGGGGGATAGATTCCTCCAAAACACCCATCTCCCCTGCTGGAGATCGGCTGAAGTCTTTTATAGGGACAGGATTATGGATCTTTTGTGGTAGTTTCTCCTTGAGGTGATAATGTCTTAGATGGGTTAACCTTCTACTGGTATTCTTAGAGGTTACCTGGTGACATCTTTGGGGATTATCTGGCGACATCCTGCTTTTTCTTGTCACAAGATGGATGCTCTGTTTGGTTTTTCATTCTTAGATCATTATCACTTGTTTTCCACCCTCCAGGGAGGAACATTGGTTAATCTTAAACCTTTTTGTAGAGACTGGAGAAACAAGATCATGAGACAAGGTGGCGGTTAGCAATGGTGAGTAAATAATAGTGACCCAGGCCTGTGTAGCCTCTTCCACCATTGCGATGGAAGATGACTGTGGTGGGCCCCAATCCTATTGCACAGGCTAGAACGGTTCATGGTTCTGTTGTTAGGCGCCATCGGGTTGGCTCCAACTTATGGTGACCCCAGGTCCTAAAGAATGAAACTTTGCCCCATCCTGCACCATTTTCATGATCATCAGTGTGCTCAAGTCCATTGTTGCAGCCACTGTGTACTTTGAGTGCCTTCCAACCGAGGGGCTCTTCTTCCAGCACTGTATCAGACTGTTCTCTTGGGATCAATAGGGTATTCACTGTCTAATTTTTGGAAGTAGGTCACCAGGCTTTTCTTCCTAGTCTGTCTTAGTCTAGAAGCTCCACTGAAACCTGTCCACCATGGGTGACCTTGCTAATATTTGAAATACCAATGGCATAGCTTCCAGCATTGCAGTAACATGCAAGCCACTCAGTGTGACAAACTGACAGACAAGTGATGGTTTTGTTTTTGTTGTTAGCTACTGTTGAGTCACTTCTGACTCATAGCGACCCTGTGCACAGCAGAACAAAACACTGCCTGGTCCTGCACCATCATTGCAGCCACTGTGTCAGTCCATCTTGTTGAGGGTCTTCCTCTCCTTCGCTGACCCTCTGCTTTACCAAGCATGATGCCCTTCTCCAGTAACCGGACCCTCCTGTCCAAAGTATATGAGACGAAGTCTTGTCATCCTCACTTCTAAAGAGCATTCTGGCTGTACTTCTTCCAAGACAGGTTTGTTCGTTCTTTCGACAGTCCACAGTGTATTCAATATTCTTCGCCAACGCTGTAATTCAAAGGCGTCAATTCTTCAATCTTCCTTATTCGTTGTCCAGCTTTCATAGGCATATGAGGCGATTGAAAACACCATGGTCTGGGTCAGGCGCATCTTAGTCTTCAAGGTGACGTCTTTGCTTTTCAACACTTTAAAGAGACCTTGGCAGTAGGTTTGCCCAGTGCAACGTGTCGTTTAATTTCTTGACTGCTGCTTCCATGAGCATTGATTGTGGATCCAGGTGAAATGAAATCCTTGACAACGTCTTTTCTCCGTTCACCGCGGGGAGTGGTTTTAGCATAGTGGAAATTGAGCGTCTTGAAGCTTCCAGTGTCCTCTCACACAAGATACCTGTCTCACCTTCTGTGTAATTAGACTCCTGAGTCTGCACTGTGGTGTACCTTACTGAAACGTGGTAATCCTTTATCTGAAAAATTCTACATTTAACATAAAGTCACTATGATTACTACTGAGAATGATTTCTATACAAGGAAGCAAGAGATTAAAAATCTAAGACATTGACGACCGAACGATAGGTATTATTTTTTTTTGAAATCCTGTTTCTGTTTCTTGTTTTCCTCAGGACCTTGATTTTCCCGTTTCTGATTCGAGGAGGAAAACCAACGCCGTTGTTGATATGGGTGATGGCATTCATGTTCTGCACCTTTAACGGCTACCTGCAAGGCAGGTACCTGAGCCAGTACGCGGAGTACTCTGAAGACTGGGTCACCGACCCCCGCTTTCTGACCGGTGAGTAATGGCACTGGGGACCCCAGCTCGGGCTGACCGGAACCTGTGTTTTCACGCTGCAGTTGTCTGAGTTAGAAAGCCCAGGTTCTGGAGGGAGGCGAGTGGCTGGGACGGGAGGGCAGCAGCAGAGTGGCGTGGTAGGAGTTCAGGGCGGTCCCGCTGTCCCTGCGCTGCCCAGGTGCACCGTTGCCCGGCCGTCACAACTGCAATGCCTGTTCATAACGCAGACCTAAAAACAGCAGCACCCGGTAGCAGGACGAGCAGGGGGCAGAGCCTGAGGAGACGGTGCTAAGCTGCTGTAATCGGATGCGGTCAGTAAGCCTCCCACGTTGTTTCTTCTGCAATGTGAGAGAAAGTAGGACTTTGTTACTTTCCCAGCAGTGCAATTAGACTTTTATGATCTGCCGACCTGGATAAACTTGTGGGTGTGTGAAACCCTAGACATTTTTTTATTTGCCCCAATTAATGTAAATTCACATACTCTTGTAAATTCTAATTACAACCTTGTTGAGGGATTGATGGTTCAGGGGTAGAATTCTCGCCTTCCATGCAGGAGACCCGGATTCGATTCCTGGCCAGTGCTCCTCACGCACAGGCAGCCCCGTCTGTCAGTGGAAGCTTACATGTTGCTATGATGCTGAGCAGGTTTCAGCAGAGCTTCCAGACTAGGACGGATGAGGAAGAAAGATCTGACAGTCTTCATAGTATCAGCCAATGAAAACCCTGTAAATCACAATGGCCCCATCCGAAACCGATCAGGGCATGGCGCAGGACCGGGCAGCATTTCTTTCCATTGTGCGCGGGGTCGCCCTGAGTTGGGGCCGACTGGACAGCAGCTAACAACACCCACAGTTACAACCTTACAAGTTCTGTGCCAAATGGAAAATGAAACAACAGTAATGAAAAATATTTGCAAGAGCATTAAAAACAGGTAATCTCGCAGCTTTTACATGTAAAGTTTCCTCCACATATTTATTTAGTGTCTCCTTCAATTATTTAGAAATCACAGCCTACTCAGAGGTGGCCTCCCCCCATGGTCTCCCTGGGAGATTCTGAAATCGGTCCATCAGACGTTCAGGCTCCCCTGCGGCTTTTTACCCGTAGCTGCGTGAAGTCACCTTACGTTCAATTCTGCTTTTTCTCTCTGCGCATGAGTTTATAACAATACGAAAAAAACTAACATTTAAATTGTACCGTGTTGACGACAAAACCCTTCCACGTTTCTCAGCCATATTTCTTTTGTGTGAATTTGAACTCTGTCCCGAGAACAGTGCCCTCTTTGTACCTGAGGACAGTGACAGTGAGAATCCGTGTCCCCAGCTATCCAGTGAGATTGGCTGAGAAACCTCAGGTCCTTTGCTGGCTCCAGAGCCCCGGGCCTCCCTGAAATGCTGGACTGAATCGTGTTGTTTGCACGGTACCCACGTGTCTTCCTGGTGTGCCTGCTCTGTGACGACAACGTTTTCTTCCACCCCCGCTCTCAGAAGGAGCAAGAACAAGCTTTCCCTCAGCCCCCATGCTCCATGCCTCCTGCACCCCTGGGGCAGAACCTATGCCCTTTCCGCATGAGAAGCCAGCCCACCCGAGGCCTGAAGCTGGTGGCTAGCGGAGGACGGCTTCATCTCCTCACCAGGCTGAGTCCTCAGAAGTAGGCAGCGAAGAACAGAACGTAAAAGCAGGGATTTTAAGTGTTTATTTTAGATTCCAACAGGAATCATTTCTGTGATGCATTTGTGTGTGTGTGTGTGTGTGTGCGTGTAGATACTTTTGATGAACAAGTGCTTTTGGTCTGTGATTTTAACTGTCGTTTAAATTAGCTCTGTAGGTAGTAGACTCCATCCGCTACAGAAGCCTTTAAACCTGGTCTAAAATTTTAATACAGCAATCAGCTGTACAGACCTCTCAACTTCTCTACAATTTTCTACGGTTGGAAGGGAAATAATAATTTTATTAAGGATATGCTAAATTGGAAAACAAGCTAGGTCACGTTTTTTGTTTTATTTGGTGTGTTTTACAGTTTTTGTTAAGAGACAAATATGAAATTACACAATTATGTTTATTATAATAGTATGCTATGATACTACAAAGAAGTAAGCAAAAAATAAAAATAAAATTCTAATAGAAAGTTCCCCATGCCATGAAAAATGGTTGATCTGAAAGATTCTATGCCAAGATTTTAAGGTTCGTAAAAATGGAAATCAGTGTTTAGCTTGTTGACGTTGTTAGGTGCCATCGGGTCAGTTCCGACTGATAGCGACCCCACGTACAACAGAAGGAAACACTGCCCGGGTCTGCACCATCCTCACAATCATTGCTATGCGTGAGCCCATCATTGCAGCCACTGTGTCGGTTCGTATCGCTGAGGGTCTTCCTCTCTTTTGCTGACCCTCTACCTTACTAAGCATGACGTTCTTCTCCAGGGACTGATCCCTCCTGATAACATGTCCAAAGTCTTGCCATCCTTGCTTTGAAAGGGCATTCTGGCTGTACTTCTTCCAAGAGAGATTTGTTAGTTCTTCTGGCAGTCCATGGTATATTCAGTATTGTTCGCCAACACCATAATTCAAAGGCATCTATTCTTCTTCGGTCTTCCTTATTCATTGTCCAGCTTTCACATGCCTATGAGGCAATTGAAAATACCATGTCTTGGGTCAGGCGCACCTTAGTCCTCAAAGCAAAATCTTTGCTCTTTAACACTCTAAAGAGATCTGTTGCAACAGATTTGCCCAGTGCAATGCATTGTTTGATTTTTGGACTCATGCGTCCATGGGTGTTGATGGTGGATCCAAGTAAAATGAAATCCTTAATAACTTCAGTATTTTCTCCATTTATCATGATATTGCTTATCGATCCAGTTGTGAGGATTTTTGTTTTGTGTGGCGAAGTAATTCAAACTGCAAGTTATAGTCTTTGAGCTTCATAATATGTGCTTCAAGTCCTCTTCACTTTCAGCTAGCAAGGCTGTGTTGTCTGCATTATCGCGGGTTGTTAATGCGTCTTCCTCCAGTCCTGATGCCGCGTTCTTCATTTAGCCAAGATTCTTGGTTTATTTGCTCAGCATTCAGATTGAATAAGTATGTTTATGTTAGTATAAGTATGTTGTGTTTGCTCGGTATACAGATTAAGTATGTTTAGGTTAAACCAAAAAAAAAAAAAAAAAAACCAAACCTGTTGTCGTCGAGTTGATTCCGACTTACAGCGACCCTATAGGACAGAGTAGAACTGCCCCTTAGGGTTCCCAAGGAGCAGCTGGTGGATTCGAACCGCTGACCCATTTGGTTAGCTGCCAGGCTCTTAGCCACTACACCAACAGGGCTCCATGTTTAGCTTAGATAAGCAAGAATACTGGTTTTTCTTACCAATTTAAGCAGTAAAGGAAGTGTGTCACCTAGTAGGAAAAGTAAGTAAGTGTGGAATTTTTGAGGACACTATTTTCTCTGGAACCTCACATTGGAAGCCAGATCACCCAGGGTGACATACAAGATCCAGAAAAGGCACGTCACCCACTGTAAGCTTATGGATCAAATAAGTGGTTTATAAAACCTATTACACAATTTGACTTGAGCTGCTTAGAAAAGAAGGCTGCTTGCAGTGGTGACGTCTGAAGGAAGAAATCTTGAAACCCGTACTGTAGACCAGAAGGTTTTCGATGCCCTGGTTGTAACTGTGAAAAATTATTTAATGTCATTGGGATAACTGATGGATAATTAATAATGTTACCCAAAATGTACATTTCTTTGATATTGAATTGAATATCATCATTAAACACTGTCACATTTTTTTTAACGATCTCAGAAGAATCAAATTAACACCATGTTACCAAACTGAGTTATTCCTTTCATAAAACAGTACCTTGGCATTTTGCCTTCATGGTTGGAATTACTTGGTGTGGTACTAAGAAGTCTCCTGTTAGTGATGAACAGCCCTGGAGGATATGTGAGAATGGGGGAGACAGGATATTCAGGATCCTGGGGGCATCTAGGGAGAGTGGTGAGGCAGACAGGTGAGCATCTGGTCTGGACCGAGGAAGAGAAGCTGCCCTAGGCTTGCCGGTTGAGGGGTTGGCAGGACATTAGTACTGGAGGAGGCCATGGGTGTGCCTTAAGCCATTCTGAACAAGTTTGCAAAGGAAGATGAGAAGAGGACCAGAGACGAACTCCAGGGACCTACTGTGCCTTCGTAAGGGCCTTTTGCTGTCGTTAGTTGCCCGCAAGTTGACCCTGCTCATGGTGACCTTATGTACAACAGAACGAGATGCTGCCCGGTCCCGCCCCATCTTCACGATCGTTGGTATGTTTGAGCTCGTTGTTGTGGCCACTGTGTCAGTCCATTTCACTGAATGTTTCCTTTGTTTTCACTGACCCTTCACTTTACCAAAAATGATGTCCTTCCCCACCAATTCGTCCCTCCTGATGACATGTCGAGAGTAAGGGCCACGAAGTCTTGGCCATTCTCGCTTCTAAGGAGCATTCTGGCTGTACTTCCTCCAAGACTGCTTTGTTCGTTGCCTAGCAGTCCGTGGTATGCGCAGTTTTCTTGTTGTTGTTGTTACCGTGTCATTGAATCGCCTCTGACAGCCTTACGAACAACAGAACGAAACGTGGCCTGGTCCCGTGCCATCTTCATGGTCATTGGTGTGTTTTAGCTCATGTTGTGGCCATTGCGTCATCCTCCCTCATTTTCACCGACCCTCTGCTTTACCAAACACGATGCCCTTTTCTAGCCATTGGTCTTTCCTGATGGCGTGTCCAAAGTAAGCGAGCCTAAGTCTCACCATCCTCACTTCTAAGAAACGATCTGGATGTATTCCAAGACTGATTCGTTCGTCTAGATGCAGCTATTAATGACTCACCAGTCATCCTACAAGCATTTATTTTGACCATAAAGTCAGATGTTTCTAGTAGATTAGATGGTTTTTTAGTATTATTAGAAAGAGCCCAATTTAGCATACCTGCTAGCAGTGCTCATCACCTGTCTTTCCAAAAAAAGGACAAGTATATATTGAGTGATTTTATCACTTACTATGGCTTAGATGGAAACTCTGGTGGCGTAGTGGTTAAGAGCTACAGTTGCTAACCAAAAAAGGTCGGCAGTTCGAATCTACCAGGCGCTCCTTGGAAACCCTATAGGGCAATTCTCTTCTGTCCTATAAGGTCGCTATGAGTCAGAATCGACTCAACAGCAACAGGTTTATGGCTTAAATGTTGTGCTGATAATTACAATGTGAAGGATTACAGTAACACTGTTCAATCAGACCTGGGTTCTTGAATGTTGTAGTTCATTAACCAGCACGGTCTTGTGTTTTCTTCCTTAGGTTTTGCCCTGTGGTTAGTGGGCATGTTGATAAACATCCACTCAGACCACATCCTAAGGACTCTCAGGAAACCAGGGGAGACCGGATACAAAATACCAAGGGGTACGTACCGAAATGAGGACCTGATTTTAAAATTGCGTTGCGCAGTGCCTTGCCTTGCTGTGTTCGTGTTGCCAGATCAAGTAAGTAACAGTGGGGCACTTACTGGCTGCGAGTTTTCAATGCGAGTTGCTACTATTAATAGCAGTCGATATTGTTGGTGTTTTACTGCAACAGTGGAAGAACAGATTCTGGCCCACTGAATGGCTGTTCAGCAGAAAGGAAACTCTAGTTACATCTTTGGGAAGAGAGCGTGAGGAAGAGTTTATGGTTTCTGAGGAGGGTCTGATCCCTCCATTTCTGGCAATATCGTGGAACAGATACCTTGACTGACCTTCCCTCTGAAAACAATTAAAAATGTTGGATGAAATATTTTTCAACAAAATCTTTTCAATTCTTATGATCAAGACAGGAAAAGTAATCATCAGAGGAAAGTCTTTAAGTGCGTGCTACAAGCCAGAGAGCATCCCAGGAGAACTTGTAACCGCTAGCTGGTCCTCACGTTGCTTTGTAACTCAAATTCACACCGGTGGATGGTCTGAAAAACCACAAGCCACGCAGGTCCTCACGCACCTGGACAAAGCAAGCCCTGCTCCCCTAGAGGAGCCTTCACCTGCGGCCTCAGAGAATTCTGACAGATCAAGTTCCATGGAGTAAGAGGCCACACTCAAAAGTCGCAGAACCCACTAGAAAGTGCAGCACCATGAGTGAGAGCAGGACTCGACATGACAGGTCTCACATATTAGAATTAATGGAGACAGATCATACAGTGAGTACTTAAAGTGTTTAAAAACATAGAGGGGGGTTGAAATTATGAGTAAAGGAGTAAGACGCTAGAAAATGACAAAAAAAAAACAAAACAACCAACCCCGTTGCCGTCAAGTCGATTCCGACTCCTAGTGACCCTACAGGACAGAGTAGAACTGCCCATTGTGTTTCTAAGGAGCAACTGGTGGATTTGAACTGCAGATCTTTCGGTTAGCAGCCGAGTTTGACTAACCACTTATAAAATAGAGCCGAGAGAGCTTCTGAAAACGAGACGTCCAGGAGGCAAAGCAGGGAATTTAAGGGAGCTGGTGAGCGCATGGCATTGCTTAGTTGGGAAGCTTCCTACTTACGTTCCTGGAAACCATGTGAGGAGAACGACAAAAACAAACCAACGAACAGAACGCCTACAAACCCCAAATTACATACACGGTGCCCCGGAGAACCCCAAACCAGCAGAAGCCACCTCCGGAAGTCAGGAGCGCGATAGATGTGGTAGGGAGAAGAGAGACGCGATGGAGCCTCCGACGGGCTTCCGATGGCCGCCAGGCCCTGTGAGCGTACTGGGAAGGCGGCCTCTCGTGGGCTCACGGCGGGCGAGCCAACCGTGCACTTATCAGGAGGCGCCCTCATCTCTGGGGGGGCGTGCAGGCCCAGATCAGGGCACACAGCCCAGAGGGTGGGGGGCGGCCACGATTCCTCAGCTCAGCGGGAGTAGCTGGCCCACAGGAGGGGCAGCCCCGTGCCTGGCCGAGGAGGAGCAGGGCCTGAGCCCCAGGAATGGCAGGATGGAAAGGTGCACAGAATGCCAGTGGTCACGAAGGTGGCAGACTTGGGACAGTGCCCCTTCTAAGTGAGGGTGTCCTCCTAGAGGCAGGACCTGTGGGAGGGGTCCTCCTGCACCACAGAGGGCAGCCTCTCCTCTCCCTGAGGTTCCCGCCGGCCGCGCTTGCAGTGTGTAGTCCTTGAGCCATCTCCTGTCAACAGGACGTCTTGTAGCAGATTGGCTTCTTGGGGCTTTCTTAAATAATCCCAGGCTCACTAGCCCACCTGCGTGGTTCAGCCAGGGTGTGCCCTTGGGATGAGGGCAGTGTTGCAGAGGGAGTGGCCAGGCTCCCCCTTGGTGGCTGAGCAGCTCAGGACCCTCACATCCAGGCTGTAGGCAGCGTCTGAGGACACGGGTTCGTTCTCAGGTGTCATCCTAATGACACAGACAGATTCAAAGAACTGTGACACATGCAGGCATAGGACGGAAGCGGTTACAGAAATCCGCAGACAAGACTCCATCGCTGATCTGAAGCCCCACCTTCAGAGGTAACGCCACTCTGCGCGCTTCGGCGAGTGTCCTGGCAGACACTTCTCGCCCTTGCGCCACCCACACGTCACCTGAATGCCGTCCCGGCGTGTGTGCGGGATGTGTGTTATCATAAACAGTTTACTTGGCAATGCACGTCAGCGTTGTTTTACAATTGTGAGTTATGTCACGCTCGCTCGAGAACACGGTGTTGCAGACGCCCAGCACCCCGCCCGCCCCTCCAACCTGGGCACGGTGCTGCCGCCGGCTCTGGTTGTTTCCTTTCTCTGGGAAACAACGCGTCTGGACTCCAGCGGCAGCCTCGTGGTCTTCGGCTGGAGTGCTGGTCAGTGGCACTTGTTGAAAGAGGCGTTAGACTTAGGGTGTGGGCACTTCCTTGTTTAATGTGCTGCCCTGACCCCCTTACAGAATATTCCTGGCTTAGCAGATGGGTGTGGTAGATCCTAGAGCAGATCATGTCTGGCCTCTGTATAACACCCTGAGTGGCGCCCTCTTCCTCCCCATGGGAAAGACACTGCCCTTACTATGACCCTCAAGGACAGTTCTTGTGTCCTCCCCTCTGCCAAGAACCTCACCCAGTCACCCACCTTTCCCCAGATTCTTGGAGTATGCTGATGGCTCTCCGGCCTGAGGGCCTTGCTGTGGCCCTTTCTCCAGCCCAGAGCCATATCCCCCAATTACCACCGGCCCCACCCTCCCCTGCAAGTGTTGGCACAAATCTCACCTTCTGCGTGAGGCCTATCCTGGACCATTCTGTGAGTGTGGCTGCCCTCCACCCCCTTCCCCACGTCCCCACGTCCCCACATCCCCACGTCCCCACGTCCCAGGCCCCTGGCCCTGTTCTCCTTTCCATACCTCTCAGAACCCTAGATTGTATTATTGCGTTCCTTATTGATTGTTAGTTGCCTTGGAGTCGGTTCCAACGCATGCCGACCCCATGTGTGCAGGGTAGAAGTGCTCCATAGGGTTTCCAAGGCTGTGAACTTTCAGAAGCAAATGGCCAGGCCTATCTTCCAAGGCTCCTCTGGGTGGGTTAGAACCACCAACATTCTGACTAACAGTTAAGCACTTAACTGTCGGTGCCACCCAGAGACCCTCCTACGGCTGACTCTTTAATGTCATTGAGGTGAGGAGGCTGCGCTGTCTTGTACACGGGTGCTTCCCTGGTGCCTGGAACGGGCCTCTGGGAAGGCAGGCCAGATGCATTTGTGAAGATTTGGGGAATGAACAGATGGATCTATGCTTGAAAATGGACATTTTTCTCAATTGTTGGTCTGGGGTTCGATACAGGTCCATTCTGTTAGGCTTGTTCACTGTTGACACTTAACTCGGTGTTTTCTGTCTTCATCTGGGCTTTGTGGCTCCGCCTTTGAACTAGGGGAGAGGTGTGTTCCCAGGACATATGGAGGATAACGAGCACCCGGGGACAGTCTCATGAGTTAAGCCTCCCCCCTCCACCCCACGATGAATAGATGTTGATAGTGGCAACCTGTCAGCAGAAATGCCTTCCCCCCTCTCGTCCGGCTGCCTCAGTCAGGCGCCTTTCATATTTGTGGCACCTCGGAATGTCACTCCGGGCCTTGTCTGGTACCCCCTTGGACTTGGGCCCCGGGGGCAGGTGCCCGCCCAGTCCCCCCCCCCCAGCATATCAAAGTCTTTCACTGTGATGGTGGACTTGTCTATTCAGATAGATAGAGCACGCTGACGTAGATAGATGGTCGATATGAAGTTGTGAGGTGAACGAGTAAGCCTTGTAATGTCGGCTGTGCCTGGCTGATCAAAATTCTGTATAGTCTGTATTTTCCCAGAGTTGGATTTACGCTCTCCGGGTAAGTATTGACACGCGTCTCTTGAGCCAGCGTCTCAGCGGGGACCGTTGTGTAGTAAACGCACGACCCTGGCCCGTGTTTCTTCTAGGGGGCTTGTTTGAGTACGTGACCGCGGCCAACTTCTTCGGGGAGATCGTCGAGTGGTGCGGCTACGCGCTGGCCAGCTGGTCTGCCCAGGCCGGGACCTTCGCGTTCTTCACGCTTTGTGTGCTGGCCACCAGAGCGGAAGAGCATCACCGGTAAGCTTTCGAAACTCTTTTGGCGCTTGTAATTTGTTTTCTGACCTTGTTATCATAACTTGCAGTATAGGTTAGGTGTCAACTATTAACTGGAGTGGCAGAATCCGCTTATGCCATGCTTCAGCTAAACAAGTATAAAACTAAGCAAATACCTGCAGGATAACCTAGCTCTAAGGAAACCTTAGGGGGGCAGCGGGCGCTCCGTGGCGGAGTTCTCGCCTTCCATGCAGGAGACCCAGGTTCGATTTCCGGCCAGCACACCTCACATGCAGCCACCGCCTGTCTGTCGGCTGTGTTGCTAGGATGCTGAACAGGTTTCAGCAGAGCTTCCAGACTGACAGACTAAGCAGAAAGGCGTGGAGATCTACTTCTCAAAATCAGCGAATGAAAACGGTCCGATCTGCAACCGATCATGGGGATGGTGCAGGACTGGGCAGCGTTTCTTTTCATGGTGCGTGGGGTCGCCATGGGTCAGGAGCCAACTTCAGCAGCAACAACAACAAGGAAATATCAAGTCTACGTCCATATCACAACATTCTGTACCACGTTCCCTGCCATTTTGAATCTATGCTTTTCAGCCCAAAGGTCAAGTTAAATATCAAGCAGGGCTTCAGTGGTCCGAGTTGAAAAATGCCAGTTGAAATGGGCGACAGATGACTGGCTGGCACATGAACGTAGAACCCTGCAGCTAGGAGAACCTCGCAGAGGGAGGAACCCTACAGCATCAGGCTGTGCCCTTGGGGCATGCTCATCATGAGCTCTTGCCCTGCGGGTGACTTGGCCCTGGCACTGGGCCTCAGGTCCCTGACAGGTGGCAGGTGTTCTATGCACCCCTGAAATGCCCTTGTTTTCCCAAGAGCAGGTGCTTAGCCCTTGTCAGATTCCTGACAGAGCCTGTGATCCATTTGGCCAGTAAACTCAAACTCACAGGATGTTAGAGCGTCTTCTGAGCCAAAAGATGAAGACACTGAGCTGCAGACACAAAGCCGGGGCTAGGCGGGAGGTGTGTCTCATGGAGGAGCGCGAGACCTTCAGCCGTCTGTCATCTGGACGCCACCCAGTGCTGTGCCTGTCTGTGGTTCATTCTTCCTATCTGCCTGTGGCAGCCGACAGTGGCAGTTTGGCCTGGCAGGTGGAGTAACTGGTGGTTGCGTTTGTGACTTACGTTCTCCTGCTTCTCCGGCGCTGTTCACTCGGAAAGGTCTCCTTTCAATTGCCAGTGCTGTCACGTGACCAAGCGTACACAAATGGGTGACATTGTCCTACTTCCCGGAGTGCATCGTCTCCTGTGGGACAAGGACAGAGAGAAAACACTAAAAGAACACCAGATCAGTATCACGGTAAAAAAAGTGCAGGCTTCTTAGTGACGAAGTACCTAGGTTTATGTCCCAGCCTCACCATTTGCTTAAAGATGCTGTCTTAGGCTGGGTTCTCTAGAGACGCAAAGCCAGTAAAGTGTATAAATGTATATATAGAGAGAGATTATATCAAGGAAACAGCTCACGCCATTGTAGAGGCTAGAATGTCCCAAGTCCGTGGATCAGGGTAGAGGCCTCTCCCAAGTCACACAGCGGCAGAAGCTGGCGAGCCCAAGATCGGAAGGTTGGAGAGCAGGGCTCCCACTCACAGGCTGTGCAGACGGACAAATCCCAGGTTCAGTAGATAAGCTGACAGCTCAAGTCCCAAGAA